AGTCCCACAGCCCTTCTCACCCCAGAAGCCCTTGGTCTGGATAGAGGAAGAGCCCAAGCCAAAGGCCTGGATTGATCCATGGATCAATCAGAACCAGGCATCCTTTGACGTTCATTTACTCTCTGAGGAGGTAAATCAAGACCATGAGGGCCTGGAAGGAACGTGTAACAACAATACCCAAAAAATCAATCAGGACAGAAAGCCAGCCCCAAAAGCCTCATCTTTAAAGATCTCCCGCACAAATGGCACGGTGCCCATTTCCCATTATGACCCAGCTCCGCCCGGTAATTGAAAGGAGGCCCCCGAAGCTGATGACCATAAAGCACCGACCCTTCTCTGCTGGTAATTATGTGATCACGTTATGAAGGCCTCGGAGCCAACATCTCAGTTGCAATGAGGCAGCAGAAAACATGTTGATCCCTGCTGGAGGGAGGAAGAAAAGGCCCCTGGAAGTGTCTNAGAAGACTCTATAAGCTCAGAAGTACTATGTTTCATGAGGTACCCTTTATCTAAAAATCCTACATTTTGTGGATCTAGAGGCTAGTGAGTCTTCTTTTAAGTGAAACTATTCTTATATTAATTTTGATAATGAATATTTGGACTGTGACATTAACAAGCTTGTTCTTCTTGTTTAGTGACTAAGTCGTGTCCCATTCTTTGCTACCCTGTGGACTGTAGCCTGCCAGACTCCTCTGTCCATGGGATTTTCCAGGCAAGAATACCAGAATGGATTGCCACTTCCTTCTCCAGGGGATCTTCCTGACCCAGGGATCAAACCTGTGTCTCCTACATTGGCAGGCAGATTCTTTACCACTGAGACACCAGGGAAGCCTACTAACAAGCTTAGTACTTATGAGATATATTGGGCATTTTCAATATACGTTAAGTTAGAAGAGCCCTGCTTCATATTTGCCACATTCACTGAGTGAGTTAGGTATACAGGATTTGGAGGTTGATTTCATATTGATCCCCAACAGTTTTAGGAGTTATACGAAAAGTGCTTTTCTGAAACTCTCCTCCCAGGCTTTTAAACTAATGTTATTCTTTCTTCTTTCTCATCATTTTTCCTTGAAGAAAACAACAAGTTACTTAAACATCCAGCTTTCCACTTGGAAAGTTCAGAGAATCATAAGTAACCACTTGGCTCCAATATGTATAAAAAGCCCTGAGAACTCTCATGAAACTTAAGATTCTAAAGGAAAATAAAAATTGAAAAACTCATTATAGAAGAGATAAAAAATCTAAACAGGTCAGTAACCATCCAAAAAAAAAGTAGTAAAAGTAACCAAAGAGCTACACATTATAGTAGCACCAGGCCTGGATTGCTTATTGAGTTGAATTCTGCCCAAACATTAAGGAATGGATAAATCCAATGTTATTTAAAATATTGCAGACCAAACAAAATAGGAAAACTTCCCACCTTGAACTTTGGGTCACTTTTGCTGTCTTAAATCAGGAAAGNTGCTTATTGAGTTGAATTCTGCCTAAACATTAATGAATGGATAAATCCAATGTTATTTAAAATATTGCAGACCAAACAAAATAGGAAAACTTCCCACCTTGAACTTTGGGTCACTTTTGCTGTCTTAAATCAGGAAAGAAAATTACTAAGTCAGTCTGGGTCAGCTTTGTTGAAGACATGGTACTCTTAAAAATGCACTTATATTTTATTCATTTATCCATTTGTGTATTAAATATGTGCCAAATGGCCTCCCTGGTGGCTCAGTGGTAAAGAATCTGCCTGTAATGCAGGAGACGTGTAGGAGACACTAGTTTGGAAGATCCCCTTGAGGAGCAAATGGCAACCCCCTCCAGTATTCTTGCCTGGGAAAAACCATGGACAAAGGAGCCCAGCAGGCTAGAGTCCATGGGGTCGCAGAGTCAAGCACAAGTGACCGCAGACACACACACACAGGTGTTTGGTGGTGGTGAGAATAGGGCAGTGAATAGGGTTTTAAAAAAGGAAAAGAAACATTTACTGTCCTCAGAGCAGAGGCTTCAGGCTCTGGGTGTGGTGGGAGCCAGGCCTATGCACAATAAGACAAGGGGATGAATGAGGAATGAGGCAGAGGTAGTGTTTTGGGTGATGAGTGAGCGTAGCCTCTAGATCTTAGAGTTTGAACCCTGACCCACCAAATGGTCAACCAAATTTTAAATCCATACCCAGTGATTTGGATAATGATCATGATAAGGAATCTTTAACCATCTGAGAACCAGGAAAGGAGCAAAGGCCAGGAAATCTGGTCAGATAGATGGGGTTGACTTAAAAATCTCCCAGTAGGGTGATCTTTGATAGAAACTTCCATCTCCTGGGTCTAAGACCAGGTGAGCAGGGCCAGCTCTTCATGAATTCCACTTCCTAGACTTGTCCTGTCATTTTCTCTGAATTTTGCCAAGTGAAAGAAAATCTAGGTTGAGAGGAATAGTGTGAAGGTTGAAACAGAGGAGGTAAGACAGTTAAGAGTTTAGAAAATAAAGAACAGAGACGATACCCAATGCATAATAGCAAAGTGTTTCAGATGTGTGGAATAACCTCTTTACTTAAAAAATAAAAAATGTAGTATTGCTGATGGTGGCACAGGTTTCTAGAAGCTGTGTTTTTCAAACAGTTACGGTTGAATCACCTTTACGCTGAGAAGGAGGGATGTGGGGGCGGTATAGAGAAAGTATAAGAGTACAGTTTGAGTTTCTCCACAGAAAGATGGAGAGATTCTCTGATGTTTATGTTCAGTTTGAGAAGTTTAGGTGTTTTTTTAAATTTTTCACATTAAGTAAGTCATGAAATTTAAACTGTAGGCACTGTGTTAGTAATTTAGGTGTGCTGAACAGGAGTGTAACTGCCTTTTAAGGGATGCTAATGTATGCATTTGGATTGCTTGGTGACCTTTGAAATTTTGTTTTTAGCCACTGTCAGAAACATCACAATTTTTCCTTCTGAAACAGATTTTGAACACCTGCAAAGGTTGATCAAACTAGGATAGTTTTAATAAACTATTAATCTCTCTTCTTTAATGTCAACCCAGCTTTTAAAGTCACTCAGTTGTATTTGACTTTTTGCCACACCATGGACTTTACAGCCCATGGAATTCTCCAGGCCAGAATGCTGGAGTGGGTAGCCTTTTCCTTCTCCAGACCTTTCCAACCCAGGGATCAAACCCAGGTCTCCTGCATTGCAGGCAGTGGATTCTTAGCTCATTTGGTAAAGAATCCGCCTGCAACGCGGGAGACCCGAGTTTGATTCCTGGGTCGGGAAGATCCCCTGGGGAAGGGATAGGCTACCCACTCCAATATTCTTGGGCTTCCCTCATGTGTCAGCTGGTAAAGAATCTGCCTGCAATGTGGGAAACCTGGGTTTGATCCCTGGGTTGGGAAGATACCCTGGAGAAGAGAAAGGCTACCCACTCCAGTATTCTGGCCTAGAGAATTCCATAGACTGTACAGTCCATGGGGTCACAAAGAGTTGGATACGACTGAGTGACTTTCACTTTCACAGCTTTTAAAACTGTTCATCAGCTACCTGAAACATCAGCTCAAGGCACTTGGGTTGATTTAATAAATGCCTTTTCCATTAAACATTCTTGTAGCCAGAATGCATTGAGAGGATAGAAAATTTTTCAGTCTTGTTCATTTACAGTCTAGTTTTCCAAATTCTCTTGTTTTTAAAGTAAGATTAATTTTATTTCCTTATTTGAACAATTATGTTGGTATTTTTTTTTTTTTACCTTTCAAACAGGGGAGATTGTTTTGAATTCTACCATCAGTCCTTCAGAATTTCAGTAAAGGATACCAACTTTAACCAAATATAATTAAATATCTAGTTTAAATGTATCTTATCATTAAAAGGTTATTTATGTTTAAAATGCTGACCTTTCAGGATGTACACAAGAGTGTTCTAAAACAGAATTTCTGAACGTTGGCCATGAAACCACTGTCTTGGCCTGACAAATGAATTGGAAATAAGCTACCCAACACTGGGAATGGGTCATTAATTTTAATCAAAGGTGATGCAGGAAGGCGAATGGGATGCATGACAATGTCAACAGCCCAGTAGATGTTAAGAGACCACACAGCCTTCCTTGTTACTTGGTTGGGCCATTAGTTGAGGTTGGGTGAAGACAGAAAGCCATGTCTGGAATTGAATGACCAGGTCACTCCAAAATCTAACAGAGAACTGCTCATTTCAGAATCACATTGTAATGCCATTAGAAGTCAAGGACAGCTTTTAGAAAATATTGGAGGATTTTTTTTTTTTTTAAACCTAGCATCTAGCTAGTTTTTTCCAACTTTGACAAGCTCTCTGTTTTCCTGCCTCCTTTCCCCCTGAATGGCTCATGGATGTTTACAGAAGATCAAGAAATCGAACAGACTTAGAAAAAAAATCTCAAAGCCTGTTTGCTTTTCAGAATTACACATTGTTAGTTGTAAAACTCTGGTAAATGCCAGAAACAATAGCAGACCAAAAGGTATTAAGCAGGGTAATTAATTCTCTGTGGGGATCTCATTGTCCCTGGTCTCTCTCTTATGTTCTTGTGTAGAAATAGTTTTACTAGTTGAAACTAAACTTTCTTAATTGCTTTAATGAAAGCATTTGTTTTATAATTGTAAAAGCCAAGGTGCTTATGCCTTACTGTAAATTGTCAGTATGGGCTTGATAACATTAGCAATATTCATGATGGTGGAAACCTTTTCTTTTAATCAGTAAGTATATTTCATTATTTTGAGTATATTTTCAATTATAAGAAAGGTAGCATGTGACAGCTTGAATTAATGATGTTTATAATAAAGATATAAAAATGCAGAAGGGACAAAGAGACATTTTTATATCTCTACTTCAGGTTTGTGAAGAAAGTTCATTTATTCTGACACAGCACTGCATACATGAGAATGATATGTGTGGCTGCATTAGTAATTTTTACACATTTTTAAGAAAGAAAAGCAATTATATTGCTGTCTTGTTAATGGAATACTGTGATAAGTAATAGTATTTGTTCTTACTGTAGATGAAGATCAGCTTCGTGCAAGGGGTTATGACAAAACACCAGACTTTATTTTACAAGTACCAGTTGGTAAGTCCTTAGACTCTACTATATATTTGTTTATAAAGTAAAATGATGAGTTTTTTCCCATAACTTTAAAAATTTTTGTTAATATTAGCAAGTGTTACCAAAGAATCTGTATTAGCTTGATAATTTTGTATTCAAATGTGTGAAATAATTGCAAAAGATTTTTAAATAACAGAAAATAATAGGTTCAGAAGAAACCTAAGCTTTAAAAACTTTTACCTATGTTTAAGAAATAAACATGTCTTCAAAAGACATTTTGGTTACCATTTTCAAGTCATTTCTCTATATAGTGCATTTTTAAACCAGAGTTCTGTGGAAAAGCCAGGCTCACTTTGGTTTGCTTTTGCATTACTTGTCAGTTTATATAGGCAATCTCAGAATAGGAAAGAGACTTTTGTAAATGACAAAAACAAAAGGGATGTAACTGTAGCATAAGCGTTCTTTGTCACAAACAGATACGATGTGTTGTTTTATAATTACATCCATAGATGATGGTGAGGGTTAAGCCTCTCTTCATTAATGTGAAGCATGAGGAGAGACCCAGACAGAGTCAGAATTTTCAATCTCCCCTTCCCTTTGCTCTGTATTCGTAATGCTTTGTTCCTTAGCTGTAGAAGGGCACATAATTCACTGGATTGAAAGCAAAGCCTCATTTGGTGATGAATGTAGCCACCATGCCTACCTGCATGACCAGTTCTGGAGCTACTGGAATAGGTAAGGCCCCATTATTTTTCTCTTAAGATAAACGATACTCAGCTGAAATTTCATTAGAAAAAAAATATTTTGTTTAGCTGGTAAAAATGCTGGTAGCCTTTGTTTCTAGTAAATATGCAGACTTGATTAATGTATTCATTTCAGATAATTTCAACTTCTCTGCATTCATAATGTTGCTTCACTTTTTAAAACAAAAAATCTGTGCATGAGGTCAAAATTAGTATATACTCTGTTTTACAGTGATAATGTTGGTGTCACTTAAAATATGAATTATAGGATGTGATATGTATTATATTATTGACACTGACTTTTATCCTCTTGATGTGAAAGTTATGCCTCTAAAAAAATATTTTATCCTCAGCTCTCTGAGGAAAGTATCCAAACGATATGAAAGTCAAAATGAATTACCTTCCAGTGATAGAAAAGCATTTACCTACCAACTTCAACCAACATTTCCAAAGGCATGGGGATCTCAGTGGTTAAGAAAAAGATGGTGAAAAAAAAAAGAAAAAGATGGTGTTGGAGGAAGGGGGAGGATGCTCTATTACTGAGTACCCCCTCATGTGTCTGGGCCTGCAGCTCATCTCAATTAATACTCACAAGAAAGTGTGATTTGGAGATAATGGGATTTTATTCCCATTTTACAGATAAGACGCAGCTAGTTATCATGCATTGTCTTGGTCCCTTCTAAATCCATGCTATTTTTAGCATAGCTCTACTGATGTTTACAACTGTTGAAACTTTGACTTTTGCTATTATTGGAGTCCTAAGCTTTCATATCACATATTTTTTACCCATTAGACCAGAAGGTGGGTCAAAGGGTAACCTTCCTAGATTAACTGTGTTCCTTGGTACTGAACAACTTTAAGAATACGATGGCAAGATGGCATTGGTTTGGATCACTGAGGAAGGAGACAGTAACATCTGTGGGCAGTAGTCTTACCCTGGAATAAAACAGTGACAGTCTCCAGAATTTGGCATTATATTGTTACCCAGCTTTACAAAAGGACAGTGGGCCTCGCCTGTAGCAGATGTGCTAAACTAGGCCCACTTTTTGCCATGGTAACAATGATCATGACAAAATGCTGAATGTAATGGCTTTCTTGATTTTCTTGTGTAATTGTGCGTAGCATCCGAGCTTTACTTTACAGGGATGGAGGAGGAAAGTGCAAAATGTTTTAGAAATCAATGCTGCTTCAGCGTTTCCTGTCTTTTATTCAGCCATTATTCAAATTAGCAGTAATGTGGTAAATTGAATTTCAGATTTTTAGCAATTTTATGATGAGTTGGAAATAGTAAAGAAAGCATCATTTTTGATAGTATAGGGAAAGCAATGACAAGAAAATCAAATTGTTTAAGTTTAGGTTGCTAAAGGATTTTTTTTTTTTTAACTGCTAAACTCAATCATTGTGCAGCAAGACTATCTTCCCAATTTGGTACTGGTCAGGCCTTTTATGAGAAACAGAATTTGAATCCAAAATAGTAAAGCTTACTTAAAAATTCCGAAGGCATGTCTTCATTCTAAAACAACTCAGCTAGCTGTTGTCTCCTCTATGCTCAGCCCTCACCATTTTAGAGGCTTTTTAAATAATCAAATCACCTGTTTGGTAGACTGTGGATTATTCACATGAATGGAGGGGGTTCTGAGCAATGGATGATTTAATAGTTTGATTTGGACTAGATTTTGGATTCTTTTGTTGCATGCTGCTTTTTAAATTTTAATGATGTTTTATTTATATGATTATTACTATTACTACAATTACTACTATTAGCTTATGTTTCTTAAACAGTTTCTTTGAATGTATGCCAAGTAAGTGCACATAGTTTACTTAGGGCACATTATATGTTAAGGGGAAGCCAGATTACTCAAGAGGGAAATGCTCTACGCAGAAGTCACTAGTTTACCAAATGTCTGCAGAGAGGCCAGGAAAAGCAGGTAATACTGTCATTCAATGTGGAACATAGAGGCATTTACTTGTAAGTAAGACTTGTCAGTGATGGGGCATTTTAACTGAAGAAAAACTTAGCCCATTGACCAAAGTTTGGGAATCCTACTCTTTTCATATTTTTGCCTCAACACAACTTACAGCAGTTGCTAAAATTCCTCGGAGTTGGAAGAAATCGTCTCTCCCACCTGTAGGTAATCTTTCAAGGAGGCTGTTGGTTGCAGTTTGGGCTAATTGCTTTATTTGTGTGATAAGCCTCTAGTCAACATAAAACTGTTATCTAATGTCACACTGTTTTTAGATTTTCTTCCAGTCTTATTGAGATATAATTGCCATACAGCACTGTGTAAGTTTAAGGTGTATATACAGCATAATAATTAGCANCTCCCACCTGTAGGTAATCTTTCAAGGAGGCTGTTGGTTGCAGTTTGGGCTAATTGCTTTATTTGTGTGATAAGCCTCTAGTCAACATAAAACTGTTATCTAATGTCACACTGTTTCTAGATTTTCTTCCAGTCTTATTGAGATATAATTGCCATACAGCACTGTGTAAGTTTAAGGTGTATATACAGCATAATAATTTGACATACATACGTCACGAAATGATTATCAGAATTGTCACCCTATTTTTAAACATTGGATTCTGTGATAAGACTGTTCAGTTAATGTTTGAAAAATCATAATCTTGTCTAAGCCTATTTTTCTATATAAATAACTACAGAGCCCCTAAGTTTTAGTGTAATATTTCTCTAAGAGTTTTCTTTTTGTGTAAATTGATATCCTTACTCACCCTATAGGCAACTCCTGACAAAGTTGACCACACCCTTCCTCTTTATTAAAGCTTTTTGTTGTTTGTTTTTGGCTTCCAAGAGATATTCTTCTGAGATTTTTTCCCTTACATTCCACCTGTGTATTCTTTCTCCTTTTCTGGTTCTTCTTCCTCTTCCCAGCTCTAGGCTTGAAGGCCTTGGAACTCAGTGCTCGCTCCCCTCCCTCTTCTGTCTACATATTTCCTGGGTGTTCCCTGGAGATCTCACCAGAGACTGTGGCTTTATATTCCATCTCGTGATGCCATCTCTAACTTTTACCCCCAGCCCTAAGATTCCCGCCTTGTACACATTTGTTTGTCTAGCCAGCTGTCTGCTCAGTATCCCCTCCTGGATACCTAATAGATATCTCAGACTTTACATATCCAAAAATTAAACTCCTGACTTCTCTCCTCAAGCTTATTGGCCTCTTATTTCCTCTCAAGCTCAATGAGTGGCATTGCAATATCTCCCAATACTCAAGCCCAAAACCTCAAGTATCATCACCAATTCATCCGCAGGTCCATTCAACCCTACCTTCACCACATCTCAGATTGTGCCGTGTGTCACCACCTGACCTGCTGTCGCCTCACTGTCTGTCATCTTCTCTGGGACTATTACCACAGTTTCCAAACTGGTCTTCTTACATCAGCCCTTGTACTCCTATGGTCAGAGTTTCATACCCTAGGCAGAGTGACTCTCAGAAAATATAAATCAGACCATGTCACTTCCCTGCGTAAGACTCTTCAGTGGCTTCCCACCACATTTAAAATGCAATTGGTACCCTAGTGGGGGGAGATGGGGTGGGAGATGGGAGGGAGGTTGACGAGGGAGGGATACATGTACACCTATGACTGATTCATGCTGATGTATGTCAGAAACCAATACAATATTGTAAAGCAAATATTTACAATAAAAAATTAAAAAAAAAAATACAATCCAAACTCTGTACATGAGTGACATTCAGAGCCCTGTATGACCTGCCTCTCACCAGCCTCAGTTCTGTCCACACCTGTGCTCTCCCTTCCCCTAGAGTTCTCTCTGTCTCTTAAACTTCCTTGGCAGCTTTGTCCATCTTCCTTGAATCTACTCTGCTTGTTTCTACTTCAAGAACCTCACTCTGGCTAATCCTTCTGCTTGGAACTGTCTTCACTTGGATCTGCACATAGCTTGCCCTTTACGATGACGTTCAGCTCTATGCTCAGATTTCCCCTCCTCAAGGGGACCTTCCCCAACCACCCAGTCTAGATGGCATCACCCTCAGTCATTTCTCTCCTCAGTCTACTTTACTTTTCTTCATAAAATGTACCGCTACCTGAGTGAATGAATAAGACTGTAGTTAGAAACATTTAAACACAAATTTGCTTGGTTTGAAAGAGCTTTGTTTACCTTTTGTGTTGCTATTTCTAATTACTACATGTGTGCAGCTCACTCTTTTATAGTCAAAACTTCAAGAATTTTTTCTATCTTAATTCACTTCAAACAAATTTAAATTTTGCAATAGGCACCTTCTCTAAACTCAGATTAAGTATAGAACTTAAGCTGCCTTTCCAGCAAGTAGGCCCTCATCCCGGGTATGAACCTTGATTAATGAGCTCCTTAGAACTCTCCACTCTCCACTTCTGTGGGGTTTAAAGTCTGCCTCTGAGAAGCAGCATTTGGGCCATAATAGAGCCCCAAATTATATAGGGCTATGTATATAGTTGTATAGAAAATACATGTATATTTACATATATCAGTGTATGTATATATATGTGTGTGTGTATATGTATATCAGATATTTCAGACTATATATACATACAAATTTATGCAGTTGACAACAAAAGAAATGCCCTCTCATCCTACTTTGTAGTCAAAAGGTGGGTTCTTTGACAATTTCACCTACATTACTAAGTATATTTTCATTTTGAGATGATGACAGGTAAAGAAAAAACTAATTCTATAGTCTGAGGCCAGAATATACATGGGTTCTAACTTGTGGCCTTTCAAAGAAGCAGAAGCAGACACCCTAGGCTCACTTTAATGGTTGAAGATAAAATGGGTCAGTTTGGATGAAAACATTGATGAACCTAAATTACGAAGAGCCACGTGCACCCATACAGAGTGTGAACAATGCCCAACAGCACTGAGTCAGGAACATGGAAATCTCATTTGTAAGCTCAGCCCTGTCCCCGGCCATTCTGGGTACATTCTGACACTGTCATCAGTGGAAATCTTTTTAAAACCAAAGTGCACTTGGTAGGTAACA